GGGTGTCGCATAGCCTGTAGAAGAAGAAGAAGAAGAGAGAGAGAGAGAGAGATGTATATATATATATATGTATGTACCCTACTATAATATACTAGGGTATATATTATTTGCCAGTCCCTACATAACCCTCATAGTGACATATACCCTACTATGAAGTAGTAGTAGGTCAGATCCAGCTTTATTTTTCTGCTTTGCAGCGACTGGCATTCCTTCATGCCAGACAGTTAGCCCAGATGGTCACAGCAAGCAGGCGCCTGAATTCCAGTCGCCAGACAAGCCTGCGCCCAAGTGTCATCATTATTCTGATTTCGTTGAAGTCTGCGTAGTAAAGTCAAAGATGGCAACACGTCCATCTTACTAAGGCTGCCAAGAGCACCGCCAATGTCGGTGGCGCCACCAAGAGCGGCGGCACCGGAGGCATAACGTGGATAGATGTGGATTCGTGTAAGTAAACAGAGGGAGTCAAAGGGTAGCCAAAGTAGGCACACCGAGCGCATGCAGCCTGCAGATGCCCTTCAGTTCTCGAGGTTCAATTTAGGTCAAGTGGGTCACTGAAGGATCCAGAGCCTCCGACGCCACCGCCGGCGCCGCCGACGCGCGAGGCTTGCGGCCTGTCGCTTTTGTAGATTTTTATATGTCTTCGTCGGGGTTCTTGATTCTGCCAGGGGAATGTCAAGCTTGAAAAGCGGCCAACCGCGGAGTTTTCCTCCCCATGCAGTACTCTAGCCAGGTGATGCAGGTGATTCGAGTAACAAAACTCAAGAGCGCATCCTGCACTGCCCATACGGAAGGTAGTACGTAGCGAGGATGCCCTACTCAGTTCCTCCAAGCTAAGCACCCAGCAGGTCAGGATTGGTGTCTCTGTGCCTGGCAGGCCTTGCTCCAGCAAGCGCTGGAAGAGGCAGAGGAAGAGGAGGCAGGTTGTGACCGTGTAGCGATTCCTTTATGCATTCCCTGCTCAGATGAATTTGCCGCAATCCAACTGCCGCCAGGCACTGCTAAAGCGCACTGCGTCAGAATGATTGAAGTTTAGGTGCATTGGCCATGGCGGCGGCGTGACTCTGCAGCTGTGCATCGCCCAAGGCGCAGCGGCCAAAGACATGAACAGCAGAGACAGGCGGCTGGTCAAGACGGTGCAGCGGAGCATCTTCTTCCTCTTTTTTGCATCCCTGAGCTGGACAAGGAACGCAACTTCCTGCCCACCCATTCCGCACCAGAAAGTACAAGGAAAGTTTGGACAGCTCCTCTGCCCCACGCCACGCCACTACCGAAGTGTGCTGCCAGCGCATGCGAAAAGGAGGCCGACAGTTCTGAGATCTGGGCAGCCACGGCTGCTCACTTCAAAGATCTCTAAAGCTGGCTCCGCCTCCGCCCTCCTTACCGTGCTTGATTCTGCTGTGGATCACCAAGACTTTAATGAATTTCATGCTGGAGCAGCTTTCTGTCGCTTAGCCAGATTTAAGCAAATGGGGAGGCTAAAGCAAGAGCGTTTGAGCAGTGGCATCGTGGTGCGACTGCAGGATCGATTGTTGAGCTTGATCTCACAAGGCGGTTTGGAGGCTCGGGGTGCAGCGAACATTTTTTGGGCGGTGGCGGTTCTGGCGATGCCGAGCACCCAACAGGTCCTGGCAAGCTTAGTGAAGGTTGTTGCAAATACTTCTGTCAGGATGAAGCCCCAAGAGCTTGCCAACTGTATTTGGGCTGTGGCTTCTCTGAAGCAACATCCTGTGGCGCTCCAGGCGCTGCCTGACCTCCTTAGCAATCTTCCAAGGAAGATCCCAGGCATGAAGCCCCAAGAGGTGTGCAACTGCCTGTGGGCTGCTGCGCATCTCCATGCCGCAGCCCCCAAAATCCTGGAACCGGTCTCCGACATGGTGCTGCACCTTGCCCGCCAGACAGACCGCCTAGGGGCGCAAGACCTGTCAAACTGCCTTTGGACTGCGGTGCACCTGCGTGAGGCATCACACGATATACTGAAAGCCATACCTGGGATGGTGGCACAAGTACCACGCGTTGCGGCTGCGATGATTCCACAACATCTGGCAAACTGCTTGTGGAGCTGCGCGTACCTCCAAGATGCAGCACCAGAGGTCTTGCAAATAGTGCCGGAGATCGTGCAACAACTTCCGGGAAAGGTGTCTCAGATGAACTCGCAGGAATTGTCGAACTGTGTGTGGGCGGCAGCAAATTTGAAAGACACATCGCCAGAAGTCTTGCCTGCTCTATCAGAGCTGGCAGAGGGTGTGTCTCGTGCAGCAGTGTCTGACGAATTGCTGCCGCAGCACGTGTCAAACTACCTTTGGGCTACTGCGCACCTACACAACTCCTCGAAGGAGATGTTGAACGCCCTGCCAGCCATCGCAAGCTTACTTCCCAGCACGGTAGGTGGCATGAATGCACAAGAGGTGGCCAACTGCTTTTGGGCAACAGCACAGCTTCAGGAAGTGGCGCCGTGCATGCTGCGGGCCGTCCCCTGCGCTGCGAGGCGCCTGGCTGAGACCGTGAACCTGATGAAACCACAGGAGCTCTCCAGCTGCTTTTTAGCCTCAGCTCGCCTGGAGGGCGTTGCCCCGGAAGTGCTGATCTGCACTCCCCTCCTGGCCCACTTGTCCAGCCACGTGTGGCCCCAGTGTCTCCGGCACGGGGTCGAGATGCTCATTGCACTACGTCCTCCCAAGCAGAGACGAAGAAAAAAGAGGGTAGCATAGGTGTTGTTTCCATAGTCCGTGAAGCGGGAGGCATCCTGGTAGTTTCCCAAAATAGGGGAACCCCAATATAGACCCCAATATATTATAGTCCTTGTTATGGGGACCCCTAAAAAGGTACCGGTAATTTTGGGAAACCCCCACCTGAACCAAATGCACATTGGACAACTGTTTGCACTGGTCTGAACAGTCCCAGTAAGCCGGCCATCAGGGCGAGGCTGCCGAGCCCTGCGCCGCCAGATGCTCAGACCCATGGATTTAGGACTTTTGGGTGTAGGGGTTCAGGATTTAGGGGTTTACGGGTTTAGGG